AAAGATAGAAGAAGAAGAAGCGAAGAAGATGAAGAACAATCCTTGCCACAGAAGGAGAGGAAGGGACGACGCACCTGCTGCAGATAGAAGCAGCGAGCGAGGGCAATCGAGGCTATGATGTTGTGACTAATGACGTTGATGATGATGATTGGTGATGGGGCGTGGTTGGTTTGCTGGTTAATGTGATGGATAGTAGCTAACATACAAGAGTCGATAAAGGACTTTGAAGGACTACACAATACTTTTTGTGGGCGCGCGCGCGGCTGCCTACTACTGCTGGCTGGATACTCATGCAAGTACTCATGATTTTACTCATGGTTTACTCATAGACAATCAACAAATCACTCATGTAGTACTCGTAGACGTCTCTAAAAGTACTCAACCCACGAGTACCGCTGCGGAAAACATGTATGAGTAACTCGAGTACTTTATACTCACCCATGACTCATAAGGACCTCCTTATGAGTACATGTTACTCATAGGCCATTAGTAAACTTGAGTAACGAGAAATGTACGATACTCTCTCATACTCACCCATCTCATGGGTGACTAATTACCCGATACTCATCCGGTCTGTGCAAATCCTTTGTTGTAAAATCGTATTTTGAAGGATAGAAACCCCGACGTTTTTGGTTATCTCTACAATGTAGTCAGAGGGATGGTAGGATGATAAAAATTTTAATTTCTAAACAACAGGGCGATACATTTCGTCGAAAAAATTCTTGAGCATCATGAACACGAAATAGGGACTAACGAGAATTTTAATCATGTAACAATCATGACCAATAAAGCATGACCTCGAAAGGTCTCTTATCCTGCATTCCTCCGCATTTTATGCCCGCCAAAGTTTTTTTTTAGTTATTAGTACAAATTGTATTTTAATCAGTACCTTTTTTACTATAATCGCAATATTGCATATAATTCAATCATTGTAATCCGATAATACTGTTATTGCCGGTCAACGATGTGGTCTCGACTGGCCGAGGGCATAGCTGACATCGTCGCTCCCGAGGAGATTGAGCTAGAACATGAGAAGGAAAAGCAGCTTAATGGCCATTTGAACGCAGTTGTGGCACCTTCGCCGCATCTAACTACAGCCAACGAAGCGGACGAGCAGGAGCAGTATATCTGCGAGCTTGAGCGTGCTCTGTTACAGCGAAAAAAACAAAACGAAGCCTTGGAAGAAAAAGTAATATGACACAAGTTAATATTTGTTTAAAAGTTACTCAGGTGTAATTTTATATCTCCAATAGGTGCTAGAGACTAGAGAAGAAGTTCAGCAGCTAAAAAGTCTTCTGAAAGCGCAGGTGTTGGTACAATCACTCACTCACGGATAAGCATAATTAATTCATGTTTTTGTAGGAGGTAAGCATTTCCGAACAGAAGATCATTATTGATAATTTTCAAATTGTTAGACAAGACGAAAAAAGAGCAGAACGATTCGATACAGAATGTGATAGTGATCGACTTGTGCAAAAGTTACAGGAATCTCAAGCTGAGGTGACAATCCTTTTTGCAAATGAAATGAGAAAAAAGCGTTAAATTTTTTTTGATTGACACACTAGACAGCCGCTCTGAGGACGCAGTATCATGCTCAAGAAAAGGAACTTATTGTGCTACGTGACCGAGTTGACGAACTAGAGGCTGCCAATGAGACATTACGTGATGACGACCGAGAGGCTCGTTTGAGAGCTGTTGAGTATGAGCAAGGATACATGAATTTATTAGCTGAAATGGATAAGCTCAGGACGACAAACGAAATGGAAAAGAAGCTTGAAGATTTAAGCTTGGCTGAAAGTCAGAAAGTGTATGATCTGGAAGCTCGATTATTGGCGTCGGAAGCAGATAAGGCAGTTGCCCAAAACGATGCTGAGAGACTGTTACGAAATTTAAATGCTCTGGAAGGAGTCCTTCATCAATTTCAAGTAGACAGCAAGTCACGTAAAGAATATGTGGCTACGATAGAAGCAGAACTTGAACAGATGAAGAAAGAATTGCGAACTCGACAGACTAATTTGAAGCCTATGGAAGAAGAAGCAAGTGAGCTACAGCGTGTAAAAGAAGCATTGGAGAAGAAGACTCGTGAATGTGATCAGCTTCGGGAGGTAATAATTGCATCGACATTGTATCTATATACTGTCGTTAAGTAATTCAATTTAACTCTATTGGCTTTTACAAGGCACTTGAAAGCACTGCAATGCATTACAACTCAGGACGTGAAGTTCTGAACAAAAGTCTTGCTGCTCAACTGGTGGTAAGAGTGACATATCTTCGAATACATGAATAGCAAATGCAAATAATGATGTGTATAGGTGGCATATGTTGATAGTACCAAGAAGGGTGAAATCCTTCAGTTAATGGCGCGGATGATGGTGAGGCACTAATATATTCACATTATTTTTTCATGCGTATTGTAATATTTGATACTGCAGGACTTCACTGAAGAGCAAAAGCGCAGAGTTGGTTTAAGCTGCCCTATTCAAGGTAATGGAGGTGGAGGACTTTTTTCATCGATTATCGGGCTTGTAGCTCCAGATGAGAGCGAGATTGTTCCCGTTGATCCATCTGCGATCGAAGGCAAGAGTTTTGCAGATATGTGGTCGCAATTTTTGCTCGACGAAGTGTCGAAAGGAAAGTAATATAGAGGTCCATCAATAGTAACGATCAAGTTTGCGGTAATAGCTATCTATGAACTGTCAAAAAATTCTTCTAGAAAAAATCTGATCACTCGGACTCAACTTCATAAATGTGCCGAGCGTCCAGACTCTATCACATTATGCTGCTTCGTTGGAACTGTAAATATCGTTTTATGCTTCTCCTCCATTTCTTTGGCTCTCTCACGGTAAAACGCCATCAAACTCTGCATATCATCATGCTTTCAAAATTAAAGGCTAGAGTATTCAAGACATAAAACTTACCGCTTTCGATCTTGCCGCCTTCGAGAATACTTTATTCTCACACGTTTGATCTTGCACATCAGACTTGACACTTTCGAAGTTATCGTTAGATGTAACTAAAGCTTTTTCTTTCCAAACTGCTGCCGTTTCTTTCAGCGTTGGTTGCTCCTCATCGCTTGTTTCAATGGAAGACAATTTTGAAACTGGCTCTGATACACTCAAGGTTACGTTCATTGGTGGTTGTTGATTTGCACTTGTTTCACGCATGGGTCCTAAATCAATCCATTCATCGCCGTCAATGTCAACACTACGCCCAAAAGCCACTATGACATCCATTGCGTTTTTCAACACACGCTTTTAATCACAATTTGAGCGATGTGCGACTATCTCATCAAAGGAAATGCATGATTCAGTGCCAAAAATGGCTGATTTTATGCCGCAAACGGTACGAGAGGCAGCAACGCACCCAAGGAAATTATCCTGGCTTCTTGCCAGGTGTTCGACTCATTATATCAAATTATCCGTCACTAATTATTTCTATTTTAAACACTACTTCATATAACCTTTAATATCTGATGATCTCACCAAACCTGATTACATGTTTAAGACATCCATGCATTGCTGTGTCGGTCGTGCATTTTCGTTAACAATGCGGCTTGGTTGTTTATTACGTGAACAACTCCAGCTTTTGGCTTCGGGAATTCGCGTATGTACATCGCGGATACTGCACCCTTCATAGGTTTCGCTACACCAGAAGACGTTGCCGTGGCAAGGTTTGGGATACGCTTAAGCGGCAAAGCAATGGCTCCTAACGCAGTGTTTGGTCTTATGCGTTGCGTAACCACACTGGTACGTCCACATCTGTCGCTACTTGTACATGCATTTCGATTCCTGCCCGCTTTGGTGTTAAACACCGGCGAACGGGCCCGAAGTAAAGGTGTTGATGAAGAATTCGTTATATGCTATAAAAAGTATACATCGGGAGTTAGTGTTGTGCTACGACATAAAAGTGTCAAATGGTTTGTACCGTTCTAGCTACAATTGGCGATAGTTGAGGAGTCGATATTGGCTCACTCGTGATCCCCTCAATTTCACAACATCCATTTTCGAGCGAAGAATTCGCCAAATACTGATTGCTAAGTGGTTGAGAGCTCGAAGAAGAAGCAACTAAAGTATCGGCAGCAAGACGCTGTTGGCGCTACGTTACGTCCGTGAATCCATCAGATCAGAAAAACATTGTCTAACATGATTACGTACATCAAAGCACCTGCGAGACATTGTCGTAGGTCCATCAACCCGCTGTGGGCCTTTGATGAATAATTCATCCTGCGATAACATCACCCCGGAAGCGACTATCATAGTAGCAGGGATAGTAGAGGCATTAAAATGTGTTTCAGCAGCCTCGAAGATCTGATAAGTAGCGCTCTCAGTTTCTTGCTCGTCAAATCTGAGACTACTAGAATGATCGGTCAAAGACTGTATCGTAGAGAGTTTTCGAACAGATTTTGGACCTGAAAGCAAATCAGAAAGTCGTGTTAATCTTCGCTGATGTAGTGTGGAATCGGCGGTTTGGGACTGTTGGTGTTCAATGTTGTGGCTGTATGGTGTTGAACCTATCAATGGCTTTATAGCTGGGACTAAATAAGACGATGCTCGACGGCTTACTCGACGTGGTCCGAGACTAGAAAGTCGCTCCTTTTTACTAATATCGACGATCGAAGAAAAACTGTCGACATTCGTTTTCATGCAAAGAGGTGTTGCAGCTAAGGACTCCACAACCTTCAGAGATGGAGGCGTTATCACACCGACATCCATTGATACCCGTGTTTCTGGAACGGAGAAAACTCGAGCAACGGCCGCCCACTTTGCGAATTCCGTCTTCCGTGTCGATGTCCTGAGAGATTTTAAACAATTATTTCTCCATTCGACGACCTCCTACAATGACATTCAGTAACCAAAAAAACTTGCTTTGCCATACATACAAAAGCCAGACGCACGAGTTTCTCGGCGTCCAAGTTTTCTAGCTGTAAGATCTCAACAGTCTTCGTAACTTCACCTGTTTAAGAATTACAACATCAGTCAACGAACAACAATCTAATCGTGCCTTAAAAAAGATACTCGTGTCAATCTTTTTTTTTCGTGTACGCAATTTATTATCCAGTGAGCTTTCGACGCATGACACTTGTGATGTAACCGCTTTCGAGAGAATTGACAATGGTTTTTCGGGACTTTTAAACGGCAGGCTGCGCACTGCGTGTCGGTCTGCATCATTGATTGCTGGTTGGAGCTCGCATTGAAATCGAGTATTATCCACACTTTGGTCAGCTTGGGCTGCAGCAGCAAACACTGCATCAAATATGTCTTCTTGAAAGTGTGAGCTCGCGTAATTAAAGAGCTTTTGAGCGAAGCATTTCTGACGATAGTACACATTTGTCTCCGCTAGAATTAACTCGACGCAGCTGATGGCCATTGCCTCGCTCTCATTATCTTCGATTGAGGCCAATTGCAACCACCGATTCACTGCTACGATATCCATACAAAGGAGTTGGTAATTAGTGCAAACCGACAGTCTTTGAGGATTTATCACCAAGAATAGCAGACTACTCACAGAAGTGTTCATTTTACAGTGAGGCAATAACGAGACACTGCTATATATACTTGAAACCTACACTTATTTGTCAAATTTTTATTATGTGTTTGTAGAGTCTAAAGTGTGTAGGCTTAAATTTTCACTATGTACTTACGCATATACGCATACATTTGTTTTTACCTACATGAATGCACTCAGAGTTTTTTTCTGTAAAGAAGCTATTTAATTTTGTTAAAAAGTGCAAAACTGGAAGTTGAAGTTTGACTCGCGCCTGATAATCCATGAAGCCAAGATAAAATAGATACCGTAATTATTTATGATTTCAATAATTTATCATTTCAGTACAATATCAGCTATAGACCAAGAAAAATAATCCGAATCGATCAATTGCAACATCATCACCATCCGCACGCAAGATTATGGCTGCAAGACAAGACCTTTCAAATCGGATTACTTTGAAGTTTAGTGTATACTTATGAAATTTAGCAGCCATTATCACCCAGTATTGTTTGCCTCTATCTTCGTCAATTTAAGCAAATCTGAATGCCTGTCCCATCTCTTGGAATCGACACTTGAAGAGGCGCATACATTCATCAAGAGAAACGCACCTGATCTCCGCATCCATCGAGAGAGAAGGACGACGACGCGGCGCCATGAAGGCTAAGGCGAAGCAGCACAAACAATCCCGTCTCGACGGTGATGTAGCTATGTTCGACGACTTAAAGCAACGGCGCACTAAGAAAGCCGACAAATTAACCATATTTAATACCGTACGAGTACTTAACACGAAACATGGAATAGAGAGCGGTTAAACATCGGATTTGTAATCGCTTGTAGCTCAAGATCGAGACTCAGCATATCAAAGACAACACAGAAAAGAATGACAAGAAGACAGCGTCATCTTCAAGCACCAGTAAGAAGCGACGTCGACGCTCTGCAGCAGAGATTGATCGCAAGTTTAAATGCTCGGTAAAAGGTTGTCCTAAGGTGAAGTTCATTTTGCTGATTTCGGAGTTTGATTCGGATAGAAATCTTTAATTGAATTTTTAGGCTTATGGATCCGAAGGTTCATTAATTCACCATCAACGGGTAAAACATCCCGAATTGGCACAGGCTGAAGCGCAAGAGAGAAAAGAGACGCAGGTGATAAAGAATTATTGCCATTTGTGCCCGTTATCTCTTACTACCCGCTTCTTGTAGGTTGGTACGTTCTTGTTACCACTTCACAATGCGCCACGAAATGTTGCGATTCGACCAGCGACGCCAATGATGACAATTGCACCTGATTCGAGTATAATGATCCGAACTCAAAGCTCCGAAACAATAAGCCCGACCATTTTCCCTCCGGATTTAATTCCTCCGTTTGTTAACACTTCACGCTGCAACATGCGCTCGAGATCAAATTCGGAGCCAGTCACTGTGAATGATTCAGTCTCGAAGCCGTTTCATTCTATCGCAGCTCCAAAATCAAATCCGATCAAACAACGAGCTCGAACACCTCGACCGCGTCGAGTGAGCACATTGCATTCAAAAACAGTAATATCCACTACAGAACTTCTGAATATTCGCCCAAAGTCCGAGTCGTTTCCAGAACTGGATTCGTTTCAGCCTTTTGAAGCGCTAAGCATACCAGTGAATCAACGTAGTGACAGTGCAGCAAGTGCACACGAACCAATTTTACCAACAACTAGCGTCAATTTCAGTAATCAACAGTCTTTCGATTGGTCGATTGCATCGATTTCTGCTTCAGGACATTCTTCATCGTTACCTAGTGACGATCAAGCGATTGATAGTGACATTTTATCCGTTCTCGCTTTTGATGACACTGACGATATAAACAATTCTTCCGAGCTTGATTTAAATGGTGAGTCATCTTTACCTCGGTTGTATCAGTCGACAAGGAACGATACAAATTTGGTGCCCGTGGAAATGGAGTGTTTTAAAATTGCTGGAAACTCGGTACTACCAACTGAAAGTTCGCAAATGTTTGTGCTAAATGAACCAGAAGCTGAGCTCAATTCAAATACTTTTGCTGCACTTCGTGATGACTGGACGAACGATGCGCATTTGTCTACGCATTTGGAAAAAATGTCCATGGCACAAATTGAATCTTCCGCCACGATTAACCAACAGGCAACAGTGGAAAGATTGCGCTCTGCATCGGATCCGATCCACGTTGTGAACGCTCCGATGACGCTGGAAATGACGCACTTTACAATGGAAGATGAATTGACACATCGAAATGAGCACAATAACCCATACTTGCAATGGTATGGTGGCTCGATTATGCCGGGCATTGCCAATGCGTCTACTGTGAACAGCAATAACCCACTGTATTGGCAGGATGTCACTGCGACCGTGGCAATAGATGCCAAGCAACCATCTTCTGCTGCTCTTGATGAGTTGCTCCAGCATGACGATGCAGTCGACTGGAAAGCGACGGGTGGGCTCGAAGACAAGACTGAGATCAGCTTTGCACTTCTTGATAATGAGATGTCGCCAACGCTGCTATGAATATAGGCTTGTACCATGTCAACGTAATGTGCACGCTTCATACTTGGATCAGTTGCTTTCACAAGATCTGCGTGGTGTAAATTTGTCAATGTCCATTTAGTAACGAGAGCAAACAAGTTGTGGTCTTAGAATGTGTTAGAAATTGTGTCATCAAGTATGTAAGAAAGAATAGTGATTTACATGTAAGTATGTCTGGAGAAAGTACGAGCTAACCCTATTTGTAGCTGTTTCGCTCAAACGTCACCTGACTGTAATAGTAGCGCGTCGAATGGCACAGCGTGACATTTGCAACATTGGTTCCTCTTCAGATGGTCCTCAAACGTCATTAGATAAAAAACAAGATGAGCGCCAGTCAAATCGGCAATGTCTGTCTCAAGTAGTCATCAAGAGCCAAATCGAGCGCTCGGATCGCATTAGAGCTGTGCTTCAGTTCAAACACAACTTTGACGCGTCTTCTACAAGAGTCGCAGCTCAAAGTGCTGTTTTCCGAGCAAGAAAAGATAAAGAAAAGGAGAAACAGGCTCAGATGCATCAATTTTATATAGAACGAGGCCAAAATCCTTACGAGGTCACAAGACGCAATGAAGTACAGCGTCAAGCTCAGAAGGAACGATCCCTTATCGAAACGAATATTCAGCTTCGAAAAGCCAATTTATTAAAACGAATTGAAGCTGAAAATATTCTTCAAAGGCAACGTGAAAAGGCAGAAGCTGATAATCAACGCTATGAACGCAAATACCAGCGTGAAATGGGTCGAGCAGCGCAAGAGGAGCGCACTAAAGCGTACTTGCTGTCTCGCACGGGTAAAGAATCGCTGGATCCGACCGGGAAATTAGTAAGAGTATATCCGTCTCAAGAGACTGAATTGAAAGACCACAGCTTTGGACTCGGGCTGAGCGCTATGCGTAGCCAACACCGACGTGTTATTGCCAATTTGCTCGCGAAACCATATCATTCCGAAGCGAAGATAAATTCAATGCTCCTACCACGACAGCATAATCAGCTATCACAACAAATAAATGACGAACATGGAGAGAGCATAATGACACCCAGTCAGGAACTGCATCACGTCAACCGCGTTTCAACTTCGAATGATACCATTAAATTGCCTCTTATAACGTCACACTGTCGTCAAGGTGATTGGAGTGAAGATCACCATACAACAGAGCGCAAGCCGACACATCAAAGTAAATTGGAAAAGAAATACTTAGAGGAATCGCGACAACGACAAAAGGATTCGAGATTTGCGCATCCGCAAGTTGTGTGGGGCAAATTGTTCACTGGAAATGCGTTTGTAGCGAATCCACCGGTCCTTTGGTTTAAAGATTTCGATGTTAAGCGAGACCATTGCCTTTCATTCACGATCACAAATGTCTCTAACACGCTGAATCAATTTCGTCTATTACCATTGAATGACGACGTAAACGAGCTGTTTCATATTGCATATAAAAGACCTGGTCGCATGTCTGCAGGAATGAGTTGCGTGTTGAAGATGACATTCACGGCTACAGAATACAGAGATATTGAAACGACATTATCTATCGCATCGCCAACCGGAGTTTTTCAAATACCTGTGAGATGTACTTGCAAAAAAGCCGTGCCAGTATTAACCCACCATTTGGTGACTTTTCCTGACGTTGTTGCTGGAGAACGTACAACTGTCGCTTTGACACTTCGTAACGATGGTGCTTTGCCATTCGAATATCAAGTGCGTTGTTTGGAACCTTGGGCGATCAAAACAGACAATTTAGAGTGTCATTCAGATCTCGTGACTGGAAATGCAAGCGGTATTGATGCTCTGGATAAGAAAACGGAGGTTGACATCACTCCCGACGGGTCAATGGAGACTTTGAAGCATATTCGTGTAGACGAGAACGCGCAAGATGATAATGGTGACCAAGTAAGTTCAAATGATGTGAAGTGCAATGAACCATCTCAACAACCAAATTCTGAGGCAGTTGCTTGTACACAATTCGATGCAATCGTTTCTGTTCGTGAAGACAATAATTGTACCGATCAGCTTACAATAGACGAGCAAGAATTGATGACTCGCGTCATCGACTCATCCTTGTGTACGGCTGAAGATATTCTTAAACCAATTCAATTCAAAAAGCAGGGCGTTGTTTCACCGTATTCAACAAAAACGTTATCGTTTACTTTTGCACCAATGTCTGCCATGAAGATCGACAATCGTTCTTATAGCATCGATTTTCTAGCTCGCTCATGCTCAGGAGCGCCATTGGAGCTGTCATCCATTCCGATATATGTGTCAGGTAATGCCTTGCAAACTCCAATTTATGTTGCTCACTCCCGTCTGGACTTTAGATGTTGCGCGTATGGGAAACTTTATCGTCAACAGCTTGTGATCGGTAATCGAGGCAAAGTTTCTGAGAAAATTCGGGTTCAGCTACCAAAACCATTGTTCAATTATGTTGAGTTAAGTCCAGAGAATGGTTTTGTGCAAGCTTCAGCTGCGTCTCAAGAGGGAACTTTGGCCGTACAAGTGAAATTTCGACCGCAAAAAAGCATGTGGACGCAAATTGAACGCGCTGGATGGGGGTCTCGCAAGCTTGGAATGTTAGTCGCGCCAGTGCGAATTGTTGTGCCTGATCAAATTGTTCCTGTTACCGTTTTCATCATAGCAAGATTAACTACACCTTCACTACGACTGAATGTATTGAACCAAGGCACCCTTATGAGAGGGCTTGAGTTCGGGGCATGTTGTGTTGGACACGGCGTCAGTCGCGATCTTCTGATCACAAACACGGCACGAGTTCCTCAGCGGATTGGAGTGACGTCCGTCCCTAAAGATGTGACGGTTGCCGACGCTATTCAAGGAGTTTTGATAACTTTACTTCCTGAAGAGCAGAGAATTCTGCGTATTGTGTACATCCCGACTTCTCCAGGTGATCTAGTAAGTGCCGAAACAAGTGTGGAGATAAAGCCGCAGCTGACGCTCTGGTCCTCGACGTTCAATGAAGAGTTTAAAGTGCCATGTTCAGGTTACGGCGTTTTAAGTGATCTGCGTTTCTCGCATACAGTTGTCCGTCTCGATGCCATATCGTTGCACCAGGTGCAAACGTGCAATGTCGTCGTGACGAATCAATCCGACTGTCACACGATGTTTTTTGAATTGCTTGTCCCTTTTGAAGCTAAATCCTTTTTCACTCTTTCGCCACTTGTGGCACGGCTGGATCCGCACGAAACAATACGTGTGGAGATCGCATTTAAACCTACTGAAGCCATTTTTACACTGCCCGAAAAGTGTTTTTTTGCGCCACAGTCACAAGCAGGTGCAGCAAGTGATTTACCAGTCGATGCAGTTAGCAATTGCTCAGACTTGAGTGCGATGACTAAACAAAGTGATCGCTCCAAACACCGAAGTTGCCACCACACGTGGATAATTTTATGCATTCAAAAACACGACCACGGCTCGGATAAAAGACTATCCAAAAAAACTGTCCCACTCCAAGCGCTTGAAGTTCGAACAACCGTTGTGGACCCTATTTTGACTTCTTCAACGACTGTCCTTCAATTCGGGCAAGTGGCAGTCGGGCAAACAGTAGTGCGCGATTTGATTTTAGAAACGACTCAAAGCGATAGCGTGCAATTGCGTGCTCAACCTTTGCAAGTTTTGGGAGCATTTCGAATAATTGAAGCCCCCCGTGATATTTCGAACAGTCAAACGACAAGTCAGATTCAAGTTGAATTTAGCCCGTCTGAACCTATCGTGTACGAAGATGAGCTAGAGGTTTTAGCGCCTGGAGAGATTATTCGTGTGAATCTTCGTGGTACGGGGATAAAATCCACTTTATCCTTCACTCCTTCTGACGGAAAGGTGGATTTCTCAGATGTTTTGGCACGCACACGTCACGAAAAGGATCTAGTTTTGACAAACGAATGTGCGTTTCCGTTAGAATTTTCATTTGTTCCTTTGGATGAAAAAGACACAGGAATAGCTAAGCTGATCACGTCGACGGGATTACCAGTATTCACTTTCTCTCCCACGAGCGGTTGTATCCCCGAACATGGGTCTTTATCAGTGCGTGTTGTCTTTCAACCAGATCGCGAGAATACTGGTCATTATTTTCAAAGATTCAGCATTGAAGTTCCCAATGATAGTAAACAATATCTCATCAGTCTCTCCGGACGCTGTTGGGAAAATCAGCTCTATGTATTCGCTCCGACAGCAGCAACGAGAGGTGACGATCTTGAGACGTCACCATCAGTGATCCCAGAACCTGTAGAAGATCTTTTTGGTATGCCACCAGATCTTTCATTAAGTCAGATTCGGAATGGTGGACTGTCAGATCTATTGACTTTGGAATTACGCAAGCCACCAACCACTCTCGTCCTCATTTTTGCGAGAGATAAACACTTGCAGAGTGGCCGAGGATCTCTAATGGCTGATGCCATGACAATCGATACACAAATCACAAATACACTATTCATTGGAGGCACTATGCCAAGTAATGGAGGGTATGACGGACATAAAGAAGGTGTGAAAGGCACTACTAATGGATCGGCTGGCTCTTTCGAGCTTATTGTGGACAAAGATTCTCCTCACGCCAAATTGTTTACATTAGAACCAATGCGTGGCTCGATTAGTGCTGGACAGCAGCTAAAAGTTCAAGTGACGTTTAGTCCACCTACATCTGCGCTTACATTAAATACAGCGATGCCTCACTTTAGTGGCGCTACCTCGGAAACTTGGTCTGAGCTTGATCTCGCGGAGTGGGTGGAGGTTCGAGTGCAGTGCCATTTGAGGGGTGGATCGTTGTGGCGCGCTTCAACGACGACGGGAGAGACCATGCCACCTGTCGCTGGTAAAGGCCAGTCTAAGGTAAATAATGGAAGCTCTGACAATGTGGATGTACGGACTGTTTCAGTGGTCTTGCGGGCTTGTTTGGAGACAATGGACATGTAAACTGTTAGACGTCTTAACGATTGCTTTATCAATACTAGAACGCGAGGTATTTGTGCCGATTACTGAGCTCGTACAAAATCTAAATATTTAGCCATGATTCACTCAACTGGCGTTGAGACATTCAATGCCTCGAATTTAAAACGTGGTGACAGATACACACTGAAATTATTGTCGTAGGCTGTGGGAAGCATCACTCGGTCGATCTTGCATTGAATTTCTGAAGTGGCTTTGAACATGGGTGGCGTATGGCTAATAAATAAATGCAGTGGTAGGCAATACACGTCCCCATCTAAAAATGACAAAAATATACACTTTTAGATCGATATGAATATTATTGACATGCAGACAAATCATCCTTCCCAATTCACCATGGTATCCTTCTGAGCTTCGCTTTTAGTCCGGAAAAATTTACAAACACCATATCGTAGAGTTGTACACACCCCGTAATATGATTGTTTGAAGCCAAACAATCATTTCGTTTTATAGGCTTTTTGATTAATTCATGATGTAGAGCCCAAGTTAAGTGTTCAAGTCAATCGTTTCGATTGGGAATCGGAACGTGCGCGCCTGTTACACTTCGAATTCCGACGAGAATAATCTAGCGCTTGACCTAACTCGTGAGGAGCACACCGTGCTGAATAGAAGTAGTGGGAAGCATTATATCAAAATTTTGTACTCTTGCGCTGAAAACCTTCTCCGCAGTGGCGACGAGGAAACGAAACGTTTTTTGCCCAAGATACCATAACTGCAGAACTTGCAGATGCGTGCGCGCGAGCGCCTCGGACTCAGGGCTTCATCTTGTCGAATCACTAGTGATCGGGACGAAGATATATTAAAGATGCTATTTCGACGTGGTTCTTGTGAGCTTGACGAACGCGTCAGATTTTAATGCAAGTCATCAAGCAGGATGTGCTACGTCTCAAATTACTGGAAAGTCTCAAGCTTTGATGTACAAAACATCTGATCAAGACTTCTAAGTTAAAGTTACTCTCAGCCCACCTACTCGTGCATAGCTGGATCTTAGTGCAATATACAATAACATATTTCACCATGCTATGCTCAGAGGATGTGGTAGCTGGTTTCATGTGTCATCTGCTGAGCTAGATATGTCGACGTGAGGAAATCATATCATATCCTCGCATCATGAATACTTACGTGATGTACAGAGTACAATCTTGATCTTATTCCAAAACTTTAGAAGATGCCTTTGTAGCGGCACAAGATAAATATTTCTATTGATGTTAGTTCGCGGATATGGGTAAAGAGCTCTTCGAAGTCCAAGTTTCCAGACATATGCTTCTATCATTCAACACACGAGTTCCAAAATCTAAGTTGTCAGAGTGTCTTTCTGACCTGAATGGGAAGACGTGTACAGCGATGAGGCATTGCCGCATGTATTTGTTGAGGTTGTGCAGCTTAATACTGTTAAACAACGGTGTTGCGGATATATGACAAATTATATATATAAGTATCATATTTTATTCTACAGATAACGAACTCGCATAGTAGTTTACGCTTCGAATTCCTCAAAGGATCAAAGGACCAAATTACCGTGGGATACCTAGCCAGTATCTTCGTCCCTCGTCCTTATTAATTCTTTAATGTTGTAGGCTACATTTTTAGCCATTTACATGAAGGTATGCATGCATTGTGGGTATTAAAAAAGGAGATTGCAGTATGTGTGCTCAAATGCACATGTGTCTTCTTATATGAAGTCACAAACATTCTATGTGATACGAAATGCTGGTTCCTACTTGTGGATCTGAATCGGAGACGAGATCGACGTGTCTCTTTCTATAGAAGTGAGTGGCGTAAGCCAGTCACTTTCTACTGGGTATTTTTCACGAAAGTTGAAGCTCAAGCTTTCGAAGTGGGTGGCTTAAGCCAATCCATTATACCGGATATTTTCTACAAAAGTTGGGATTCAAACTTCCCAAGTTCTCGCCCCGTCCATCCAAGATCTTGTATCTGTGGAATCTGAGGTTTAACCTCAGTTCACGCTTGATTTATAAATCAGGCATCCGAAATTATATCAGTAAAACTTCAAGAAGCTCTTGGGGTGTTTTGCATGTGGCTAAGAACAATAACTCATTTTAATTCAGTTGCAAATTCACCTTCGAGGACGTAAGTCGCTCCCTTCAAGTCGGGACTGTTTTCTCTCTATACGTCGGGAATCGCTTCCTCGTCGCAAAATCGTATGTGCTATGTTTTTATAACTGTTTGTGAACTACGCCTTCTTGCACCAGGTAGCACTTCGAGCGCTTTTTGCAACGACACTCGATTTTAGCTTGACGATGCGGCTGTTGATCTTGTCGCGCATTCCACACTCTTGTCCTTGTCCGAGCGACATAAAAGGAGTTGGGGTACCACTCGGTCCATTAATACCGCAAACTGGAGTGTTGACGAGTGAGATGATTTTTCATCTATTTTCACATGCGAGGATGACACTCGAGCGGCTGCAAGAATCATCGGAGATGCTGCAGTAGTTATTTTACTGCAGTCGTCTTTCTCAAATGATTTGAAGAACACAGCCGTCAGTTCTATGCATCATTAGATTATGGAGCATATCGCAACTCCTGTTTTATCGTACAAAACGATGCCTTTGAAACTGTCTTTGTACCGTGGTGAAGTGAACGAGTCTTTCTCACGATGGTTTGTCAAGTTGGATGCAGCGATCACTGCAAGGCAACTGCGAGACCCCTTGCAGCAAGCTCCATCCAAGCGGGTCGTGCAAAGTGTTGGGCGTAAGAGAAGCGTTTAGCCGATCTAAACTGCTTTACCAGCTACAACAACCTCAAAGTCGAGCGAAAAAAATGCGTTTGAAGCACCAAAGAGTGAAATTCGTGCCTGAGTTGAGTTCTTGAAGCTTTGTCAAGGTTGTTTCGACCTGCACTCGTGCTTGCTACTTGGTATCGAGCATTGACGACGAGCCAATTGTCGTTTCAACGCAAGTTTTAGCGTTCATGGTAGGCTTGAATGATGGTTCAATCCGGAATCAAGTGTTCCTTGAGTTTTTTAAACGCTGGACGCCGGGCTATGCCATCGACCGAGCGATGCAAGAAGAATTCAGCATCAAGCAAGCCAACTGCAATGGCTTCATACCAAGCGACCGGTACCTCGCCTGGAAATGAGCATCCTCGCAACGACGGAGAATGTTTCCATTGTGGGGAGCAGTTACGAGTCGTAATGCCTGGAACTGCATCGTGTCTTTGCTGAGTCGGCAAAAGACACAGGGTGCTCGTTAATATAACCGCGGATGCTATAAAGGTCATCGACTCAAACGCTGCGAAGGGTAAGGAAGCGGGAACGACTAGTTGAAGGCTCCCTACTGGGCCCGAGAAGAGTACTGTAGAAGTTGTGGATATACAAAACTCGGGTCCCACGCCGAATGGCGAAATCTCGCAAATATGTGCAATCGTCGAAATAACTATTGACGATGACATCATTATAGCGGAAGTATTTGATGATAGGACACAAAACGAATGGCTCGATGAGTAGTCGCGGGGCGCTCTAAGCTCAAAGCCCGTGTATGAGATTGTCAAGGAATATGCTGATATATTCCCAGACAAGGTGTCGGACGAATTGCCATTCGACAAGAACAATGGTCATAAAATTGACAGACTTACTGGTATGAAGTACTGTATCACACGGCAGTGACGGTGCCAACCAGCCAGTCATTGCAGCTGACGAGTTTTTGCCCAGCGACAGAAGGCTGGTCATGTGCGTGAGAGCAAGCCTCCGCATTGTAGCCAAACCTCGTGTGTGAGGAAAGCCACAGGTGGCTGGCGCATTGTACACGCTTTCAATATATTGTACGATGCAGCCATACCTGCCCAGTCTCCGGTTCTATGCAAAAATATAGTTCTTGGTAAAATGGTTGACAGTACTATTTTCAGTGCGATCGATTAAGAATGCGCAATAATGATACACCACTAACCTCAATCAGTACCACCAGTGATATGATGTGGGAATGGTTACTGATGCCACAAGGTTTGAAGAATACCAACGCGACTTCAGCAGAAAGGCCGCGAATCTTCTTCGTCAACTGAGAGAGCTTGCACGAGATACTCGTTCATAGTAAGATAACGAGTGTAAAATCTGGTGTCGATCTTCATCTTGACCATCTTCGTCAAGCCTTCCAAGTTATGCGAGAGAATAAACTCTATGCTTATCTGAAAAGTGCAATTCCTTTGCGCCGAAGGTCCCCGGTCTTGGCTGCTCTGTGGGCAAGAATGGCGTTTGTGTAGATCCCGAGACAATCAAAGTTATCAATAATTGGTCTGTGCCAGCCAATGTGAAACAGCTGAGACAATAGTTGGGCTTGGCCATCTATTTGCACAAATACACGCGCAATAATGCAGCGCCTAACGACTCTTTTAAAGATGAACGCTGAGTGGGAATGGTCAGAACATCACCCGGCGATGTTTGCCGAAGTGAAGAAGAGCTTGAGATAAGCTCCCGTTCTTGTGATTGCAAGCCACGATAAACCTTTTCATGTAGTATGCGATTAAAATGGGTATGCCATCGGATGTGCGTTGATGCAACAGGTCGAGAACGAGTTGTTTCGTATGAGTCGCGATAAGTATGGCGCGCGGAACGGACCTAATTAGTTCATGAAAATAGATTCTAGCAATGAAGATGAAGTATGCTTTGGTCAAGTTTCGTGTGTAATTGCTTGTAGAGGAGCGCTTTGCGAACTATACAGATCATGCCGCTCTGCGTACGGCAACAAAGATTCCTCATTTGATGGTTTTTCTTCTTTATGAAATCCGACTTTGTTATACACTACACGCAAGACAAACATCTTAGTCGACACGCTGTCAAGATGATTTATTGTCCAGGAGCGTATACATGCACGAGTCATGTCGACAATTACAGGCGATCAGAGTGCAAACTTCGGCTACAGTTCGCGGAGACATTGTCATGGAGTACAAGTATGATAAAATATGTCAGAACTTTCTAAGGGAGTTCAATGGCTCTTCCGATGATGCACTGCAACG